TGATAAGTCCAAAACTCGACTCGGCTCGTCTCGTTTGCGGCCTTTCAGAAGAGTTACAAGAAGGGTTACTATTATCATTATTATTGTTGAGCCAATTTCCTTCAACCAATCGGGTAAGCATATAATGTAATGTAATTTTGGTTGCAAGTAAGGCATTCAAATTTTTACACTTTTTACCAAATTCAAAAGAGATGCAGAAGCGCACCCTTTTAATCGAAGTGGATTTCTTTCTCTAATTTTTCATGATTCAATTGAACTCTTCCCTAACTTAATATATTTTAGGTAAGGATAGTGCGTAGATATATATTACTAATTTTTTTTTAAAAAAAAAAATTTGCTATTATTGTTGAATATGTATTGCATTTTAATGGGTTCTGTTTTGGAAGCATGCCATTAATGATGATGATAATGGAGGAGAAGAGAAGGGTGGTCAGTGGTGGTGAGCCGCCATCGATAGATAGCGCGCACGAGGGGAGAGGTGGGTACTCCCATGCGTCCTAAGCCCCCATGAAGGGCCTTAAACCCCACCACCACCCTACTAATCTTTTACATTTATCGTTTCTTTCAATTGTCTATTCTAATATGTCCTCAGTCTTTTGTTTGCAATACACTACTCTCTGGTACGATCAAATTATTTCGTTTACCAAACAAGAAAATACAAGTAGACACCAGATACTACTACCTGACTTGTGCTCCTTAGTTTCTTGCAAATAATTCAATCGCCATTGACCGTACAAGACTCCCAAGTCATCCAAGTACCACAAGCTCTTGTCTGGAAGACTCGCGTATTCCATGCTACACCAGAGCGACTCGACTCTAATTACATGTATCAGTTGAAGTTATGAAAGAAATGCATTAACGTATTTCTTTCTTTCTGCATACGAAGTGCGAATTATGAGCCATTGGCATGATTTTCCAAAGCGAAAAAGAACTGAATTTGCACATGCAGAGTACTGATTGATGAATATATGTCTAGCTACTACATCCTGATTGATTTCCATTGGGACGAATATGAGTCAGGTATTAAATGGTGCTTGTGAAGAGATTTGTTCTTTCATGGGTTGATATGTTGCAGGTTCGTCCAACCAAACAATTTTGTTTGAACCTACGAAATGTAGACGTTGTCGAGATTTTTATTTATTTGTTTCTTTTTTTTTTTTTATTTTCCCCCTTGGGTGAGGGGAGCCTACTCCAATGAGGTCCACAATGGATCCAAAGGGATAGATCAATGATAGATCTTACTTTGGGCCTTTCCCACTTTCGTCGGCCGGAACCACACTACAGAAAGTTGCAGCAAACAGGAGGAATCCTTCTCTTTTTTTCGATCATATGAAGGGGAACCAAAAAAAAAGAAAAAGAAGTCGTCGCTGAATTAGTGTTTAACTTACTCAAATGGAGTATCTTTTTCCCCCCTAACAGACGTTAATTAATCATCCTCATTGCAAACGTAATGAAGTGTTTCCACTAAGCTTATTCCCACTTGAAAAGCTTTGCTCAAAGTGTGGGCTATGGTCTGATATCTACTCCTTTACTTTAAGAGACATTGTGTCCCCCCTCAATTGAGACCAGCATCATTCTAAAATTTCGCAAAACCCAAAAAAAAAAAAGAAAGAAAAGAAAATAAAGAAATAAATAAGCTCAAAAGAAAAGCCTGAGCATGAAGAATTTATTAGAATGACTGACTAGCCTCTTTCCTGATCTTCAATCGAAAAGTGCAGCTTCAATCTGACAGCCATGCCATGTTGTGTAAAAAGTGAGAATATTTTACAAAAAAAAATTGTAAAGGGGGAACTGGAGGAGGAGTTGGCCGGGTGTGTCTGGCATGACCCGGCCGGCATGAACCGGTCGGACACCACCCTGACCAGTCCAGGTTGTAACTTTGATTACCATCTGTACACCTTCATTCTCTTTTGGTTCCATATAGTACATGGCTGACAGCTAAAATTAGATTTGGTTTGCACGGGAGAATCTTGACTGCTCTCACCATTTGGCCCCGGCTCTGACTCAACAAACTCGATTGATTTCCCAATTGGACACAACACTACTACTCTTACCGAATTTGCACCTGCAATTGAGAGTGTTTGCTGATCAGCACCGAGACATTAATTAATTATGTAGACAGGTTAATTATGAAGCAGCATGACCTGACCACCAAGAAGGTCTTCTTCACTTTTGTGGATTTAATTAATAGTAGTGATAAATAGAATACGGAGAGGAAAAAACAGAAAAGGAAAAAATTGTGTATAGATTTCTTTTCCACAAAGATCCCTCAATTTATTTATGGTCACACCAAAGGAAAAGAGATGGGCGTGAGCACCCAACGCAAAAGTTTCTTATCCTCTCTTTTCTGTCGCGAAGGAAAAGCTTGCCCTGAATTTTCCAATTTGTACGCTTGCTTGCATATAGTTTCACACTAAAAGAAAAGGGGAAACGGAAAGTGCATAAACGATAGAAGATGATGTCTATCCTCTGAAAATGATTCCCAACGGCTAAAGGTAATTTTCCGTTCTCCAAGAATATTATTATAGTGCCTGGTTTTTATGGTACCAGGATATCCCACATCCGTTTTCCAATAAATACAAACTCAGTTGAGATTTTCTTTGTCCGATAATACCAAATTCATCCTACTGTCAAGACATTTCGGTAGAGAATAAAAATAATAAAAAGTTTTTCTCATGCAGTATACACAGCATTACATGTGGAGACACATGATATGCCATCATTTACGTTCAATTCAAGCCAAAATAGAAAAGGATGTAGTGCTTGCTACCTTTTGGTTTTTATTGTCACCCTATATATTTTTTTTAGCCCATATCGCTGCTGCTAAATAGAGTAGTTTGGATGGGAACACAAATTATTTGTTTGGTTTTAAGCATAATAAAGAGAAAAAGGCCAAAAGGAAAAGTTATTTCCCCGCTATTCCTTTACAACCACTACTGGGAAAATGTTTCTTCGACTTTTTCCATCTTCTTCAAGTTTCACCAAAACTAACCCTTAACGAGTCTTTTTTCCCTTTCGTTTTACAAATGCATGGTGGCTTCTAAGTTCACAAAACTGAAGCAGGAGGAAAAAAAAAAAAAAGTCTTGTAAGACACATTCATCTAATTGCTGTTATGTACTAAGACAACATTAAAAATGTGTGCTTCCCATGCTTCTTTTTCTCCTCGCGACTGTGGAGACAGATACCATTTCAATCATAATGGCAGCCCCTTGAGTGGTCACTTCAGTGCTGGAGATTCCCAGTATGAAAGAAAAATACTAGCAACACGGGGCAACTCACAGTTTTCGAATCAACTAGGCTTTTGAAATCAAGTTTGACCATCGCCTCTTGATATAACCCTCACATATTATTGTAACGTATCCATCAATCAACAAACGCTAAGTCTAATTCTGTGCCGTTCATGAGTTGTTGATTGAATGGAACAAAACATGTTAAAGAGATTAAGGGCTTTGCTCGGTTCTAGTGATAAAAGAGTATGGCGCTAGTAAATTAAGGCTGGTGGTGAATTAGGACACCGGTGTAACGAGTTATTGCATGAATCAGCAAGGAAACCATACCCTACCCAAGTTAACTGACTTGCTTAGACTATTGGCCAGCCAAATTCCATTTGCTTTGCATCGCTAAAAATTCCTTAGTTTTTTGCAGAAAACTCGGCGTGAAGGGCAAAAATTGAAAATACTAGCGTGCTTGAGTTGTGACAAATAAGAGTAATTTATATGGATAGCGACTAAATATTTTGAATAGTCAAATTTTGACTACTTTTTTTTCTTTTCAACAAACGTCAAATTTTGACTACTTAACTATGAATAGAATGTTTTTATCCATTGAACTATTAAATGCATAAATTTTGAGTCATTCTGTCTGATTCCACCGTTAACTCTACTAGATCTAACTATTAAAGGTATGTCTCATAAATCGTAAAAATCCTTAGATCTGTTTAGATTAACGGTGAAATTAGACGGAATAATAATTCAATAGGTAAAAACCTTCTATTAGTAGTTGAGTGGTCAACTCTTAATTATTCAAAAAATTCAGTGAATGTTCGGATAATTTGCTCTAACGAGTAAAGCACTGATCCTAGATCTTAGAACAGATTTTTTTTTTCAGGCAGAGCATTTGACGAAATTTACAATCAGTTATGTGCATTATTTCTTAATTTTAAGTGAATGACATAATATTACGATTTATAAAAAAGTTATTCTTCCCAGCTTTGGGTAGGCCTTCCTGGCATTACCTAGTTTGGCATCTTCCTAGTTTCGAGCTGTTAGTGGGCGAAAGCACTCACGATTCTACTCTGCTTTTGTTTGGCTCTTTTGGTGCACAAGGCGATTCCATCCACCACACTGCTAGCGACACTCGAAGGTCCCAGCCTCTAGATAATTAGCAAAAACAGCTCCAAGTGCTTTATCAAGACACCAAAATCGACCAGACTACGAGAATTTCATGCAATCAACACCATGCAGTCATAATGACTTAAAAATGACTCCATTATAATTGTGCATTAGTATGCCCCTCAATATGAAATAACAACTTGACAATTACAGCATGAGGGCTAATCAAGTTGACTAAGTCACGATGTTCCACTTTTTCTAAATGAACTTGATTGCAACTTGAGCAAGTTTACACAGTATAGAAAGCATCCCGGAAGCACAATAAAATCCATTTCCATGTTGTGCCTGACAAGATTGAACATATGCTGAAACATCAATTTTCCAAGTACTCTGTAAGACAGACAAATATGCATTTTTTATGTGCATGGCCATAGCAAATTGCCAGCTAACACTCAAAAGACAGAGTGAAAATAGTTTTCAACATGTCTTCGCAATTCAATCGCATATTTACTTCTGTAAACTCAAGAAAATCCGGCTGAAGCTCATATTTCATGTCACATATGACTTGACTCCCTTTTGATATGGGTGGTAGACGAGGAGAAAATTTTCACACAGAAATATTAGCAGGGAGAGGGCAATGGATACAGAAGCTCACCCGAGCCATTCAGTGCTCATAACTTCAAAACAGTGTCATAAGTAGTAGAGGATGCAGAACCACATCGTGAGAAACAATCAAATATACTTTTTAGTTACTTCATAAACAAGGACGTCAGAGGAATGACCTTTGACTGAAACAAAAACAGAAGGCTAAGAAATTCACCATACCACATGAATGATTATCGCCTAATTGAGTAGAAAGACTGACCCAGGAATATCATAGTTGCCCTTCAATTGTTGGACCACTTCTATTTTCATTATACAAAATTTGACAAACTTTCTCTCTCCTCATTGATTGGTTACCCACTTTTGACATCCACGTTCATGGGAGTGACAAAGTCTCCATTAAGCTAGCCCCTTTAAATTGCACCAGTTGGTGAGGAGGGTCCCATATCAGGGTAGCCAAGCCCACCATTTCTAACTAATGTTCCAGCCAACTTGACACAATGACCAATGGTAGAAATAAGAAGATGGTACAAGTATCTCCTCACCAAAGATGCTATAAAGACCTTCAAAAAGCAACAAAGAAGATTCCTAGTTCGTCATTTTCAATAGCCTCGTTGTCACTTGATTGTGTCAGACACAATGAAACAGTGGAAAACAATATGTCTCTTTGTGCTCAAGAGAGCCCGTTCAAGTATATCACATTAAAGATCCACTAACAAGTTATTCATGAACCAAGGATTGGTTTTCCCTAATAGGTTGTATAAGATACAAGCAACTTCAGGCTAAGATTGACGTAATTATGTCCTATCCTACAGTAAGCCCTAAATATTTCATGAACAACAAAGCAGGTTTGACATGTGAAGAGAGACAGTTAGCACAAAGCTATTTGGAAGAGGAAAAGCCAAGATCAGAAAACAGAAAATCAAAAGAAAGAAAGACATCAGCCATGCTTCTTCAACTTTCTACTTGAAGAAACGCGGCACATAATCTTCAAAACCCAGAGAATCTTGATGACACTTCTATTCATCTCTCAGGAAAATTTCCAAACCCCAAAACACCAGGAAAGGCTTGTTTATGTCTAGAGAAAGTTTTTTCCTTCCAAGTATATGCTGATGCATGACCACTTCACAAGGTTTAGAACGCACTATCAAGGACCTTGTTCTACTGTTTCCTGCATGTTTAGCCTCAGCTACCCAGTTGATATAATAATTTTACCAGTTACTTTCCTTTCCTACTCAATGCAGCAACAACAACTACATAAAGCTAATGTACTGCCATAGCAAAATGATTTTTACCCCAACATTGTGTGCAGATTCCCATTAAACAAGATAAGACCAATCTGCAAAAATCAAACTCTTTTATAGACACAAATGCCGCACTAACGTGGAAATGCACCTACTGCTGCAATTTGAGAAAAGAACAGCTATGCCATGATTACTTTTGGAATAGCAATCCTACGTGTCAGTTCAAACACCAAAGAACCATTTTTCAGTGTATAACTCAATTATTTAAATTTTTGACAGAGATCCCAACTAGGTCTGACTTCTTTCAAGGTATTACCCAAATTCTTCATCCTCAAAAGTGTTCCTAACACAAATAAGTGAGAAATCCCACTGTCACATGGTTCTTATGTAGTGGTATGTTGAAATCAACTAGTAAAACTAATCCTTTCCCCAGAAATGCCAATTTCCATGCGTCATGAAAGTTAAGGTACGAGGGATGCATTTAGTTATATCTGTCTAGAATGTAACGTTAAGGTACAACAGATTCATTTATTTATATCCTTGCTAGAACGTTCAGATAAGAGAAACCAGCAATATATCCACTGAATTAGACATTCTAAAATGATTCTTAACAGCAAAGAACAAGAAAGCAGATACAACCAGGATGTGATGCATGCATAATTCACACATCTGATATTTATGTTCAAGAGATACACAACTTTTTCTTACCCCAACAATGTAGCATTTTATCGGAACAAGAATAACTGCCAAAAAATAAATGATCAGATGATTTAACAAAGAGGTGACATTTCAATCCTTAATCTGACCAAACAACCCAATCTTATAATATTAAACTCTTCCCAACAGCAGTCAAAATGGCGCCCAGGTCTTTCATATTGAGCACTAGTAATGAGTAAGTGGTAACAACGGGTTCCACTTTCATCTCATGCTATTTACGTTGTTGTTAGAAACCCTCCGAGCTTTCCCAAGACAAAATTAGGTTTTATACGGTTTGAAAACTCAAATGTCTATAAATTGCTTACCAGAATACAGAAACACCCCCACTCAGCGGCCCTAGCTAAGGGAACAAACCCAATTCTCTATCACCCCTCCCCAACCCATCCATAAATGGAGCTTGGATGGTGAAGCAAATAAGACTCTACCTTCAGCCCAGGAGATAGAAGAAAACTCAAGCAAATGACCAACTTTGAGTTCAGCAAGACAAGAAAATAAAAGACTAACAGCGATCTAGAAGTTACACTTTGCCAAACAACACCAGAGTTAGTAAGTAATCAATTAACTATAATTACCAAGACAGTAGGAAGAAACACAAGCTCCACATGTTAAAAACCAAGCAGGGGAAAGACTTACGCCATTTGCAGGCACAGGGAAGGGAAATTTTTCTTAGTTAGTCAGAACATATCATCCCTTGCTTCGGCTTTACATAAAATTAATTTTGGATTTCTTTATAAAAGCTTAAAACAATAAACAACTCATGACATTTCAGATATTGCTCTCGACGTCACTTCATACACGCATTCCAACATAGGGTACAGCACAAAGAACATTGAATTGTCAGGAATCATGTAGGATGAAGCCCATATGAATTGGCTAAATTCCAGTATCTAACAAGAGATAATCCTCAACTCAACAAAACTCTGGTTATCAAATGAGAAATAAAGAATTACAGTAAAACTCCTACTGCAGTAATTAGATAGTTATCTTAATCCAGTCGCCAAACAAGTTTTCTCTTCTGGGATTCTTAGAGTGGGGCCATGTGAATATTGCATACCAAAAGCTAATATCCTCTTTCAGTCTCCGTAATTTCTGCAAAAATTTAGTTTTTGGACACAGCACCTCTTCTGCAAAGGCCTATATTCTCCTGCATCTTTCTGGCAGAAGTTTGATTGAGCTGATTCTGCAAAGGCATAGGTTTTGGATCAGCACCCTTGATCCATTCCTGACAGTACTGTTTCATACTTTTATGAGCCTATAATGACTGAAAAGAAACCTCCATCACCCCATTTACTCACTTTTCAAGGACCATAGTTTGATTTGGAACGAAGTTGAACAAGACACAACCAGGTCCTTGGAGTTTACCCACTCAATAGATCATTTAAGCAAAAGACCAAGCAGATCAAGTTGACTGTCCAAATTTTGCTTGAACCTTGCAAAACGACCAAAATCCAACTGGGATTTCTTCAGTGGAAAAGTACACTTCTTTGCTTCTTTTGCTTTTAGAAATCTTGAACAATGCCATAACAAATTCCCTAAATACAGAGAGATTTTCGTTTGCCTTGGTGTAGTCTCTAAGTATTACACTTAACAGATGTAGATCTTAATTGGATAACAAAATCTGAACGAAAAACTACTTACTTTGATGTACTTCTTCATTATCAAATGTCATTTCTTTAAATCCAACAATTGACTTATTGGTTGCACCGATCGTCTAGTCGACCCATCTTATCTAGGTCGGTGACCAAAATATATTTGATAACTATAATATCGCAATCAAAAAGAACCGCCCAGCAAATCCAAACCATCTCTCTCTCTCTTCATTTCCAAAAGAAGATCTCCTTTAAACATTCAACATGTTAAGGTTAAACTTTTTACATACAAAGAGTATTTTAAGTGATTACTTTGTCAACTCACAAGCTTGTTAAAGCATGAAGTCACAAGTAGTCACCAAACTGAAAGTAAATTTGAAATAGACAACAGCTATTTCATGGAGACCAACAAATAGGGAAATTCCAAACAAGCAGCGGATGAGAAGTAGGAACCATAAGCTTACAAGTAATGAAATGTCCTCCAACTAAATCTCCCAAAGGACATGATAATAACATTCGCAGATCGTACTCAGATCTAAAGCTAGTTTTTGGCTTTCCTAACCTTTTGCTTTCAAAGTGACATCCTAAAGAAACAAATAAGGCAGACAGGATCACATTCACCAAACAAGATTTAGCGTCTCAAATTTCAACTTTATAAGGGGGTAAATTGAGAAAATCTCTGCTTAGGATATATATATAAAGATCCAAAACAAGAAAAAAAAAAGTTTATCTATATGACTATACGCCTCTTATACATCGGATTCTACGCATCCATAACATGGACAACAACAGCTACCAGGGCGTCATTTTAGCTTAGTAAAAAGGAAGTATTTTCTCCAAATGTCTCCCCTCATGTCAGGCAATTCGTTGTCTTTTTCAAATCTAATATACAGTCAGAGATAAAACATTTACTCAGCACCTGTATCCTCAACAGACTTTTTATACTCTGGCTTCAGCTCATATGTTCCTTGGTTTGTACCCCTTTTATTGTAGACGCAGAGCTCATTCAGTATCTCCTTCAGAAATTGCTGCAAAAATGGGGCAAAGCAGCAAGTACAAGAATATTAGTTCACGGAAATTCAAAGTTATTCCAGACTCAATCATTACCAGAGAGGGAAAAAAAATCAAGCATGCAGTGATTTCTCTTTTTCTGTTCCCTGGTTGTCTTACAAGGGTAGCTAAGGAGCAGGAGCATGCATTATGGCTATGCTATGTGACCCAGGGCCTAAATGATGGGTCAACACTCTGTTTCAAATTGCTCTATAAACTAGTGAACATTCAGGCAAAGCAGCCAAAAAGAAAAACCCCTGATCTATAATGACGCTCTCCCTTCAAACAGGAAGCATTATTTATGAACAAGGATCCATTGATGGTTCCCTCTTCTCCAATCTCAACTCCAAAATATGCATCAATTTTAAAAAGAACACCATTTGTCTCCTTAAGGGAAAAAAGAAAGGGAAGGGAGAATAAAAAAGAATAATAGTATACCGCAGGTTGATCAGTCTCTTGCACAAGCTGCTTCAAGGCCCAATTAGGTTGTCTTTCAAAAAGTTTAAACATGATATCTTCTAGTTCTCCACGATCCCGTCTAGTTCTCTTGACATCTGATCCCTTAACTGGAGCTGCTTTCTTCTTATCCTGCCATAAAGATGCATGATTCGAGTAAGAATATTCCATGTTTATAACCATTGGAACTTTCCTGGAATGTACTGTATTACCCTTCTTTGCCTTGATAATAACCACTCCTGAATAAATAATGCGCAATAGGCGGGGAAGCAATAAATATGCATTTAGAAATAAACCAACAATGTACAGAACAGCATCATCATGATGTTAATGAATTTCTTAGCTAAATATACGATACTTGTACAAATCAGATGACGAACTGCAACGTTGGGCAAAAATTCTCCCAGAATTTGGCCTCCTTCCCAGCAGAGCATAATTAACTGGTCTCAAGGAAGATAGCTACCAATGGGATCCAGAAGGCCAATCGGCCAATTTTAATCTAAGTACAATATTTTCAAACATTGTTCTGATGTTTTTAAGAATTAGAACCAACTTAGAGTCCATATCACTAACATTCCAAACTTTCTTACAGCAGCTCCCACTTTTTGTTGTTCAGAAGTCCAACAAGATCACAAAACAGAATAAATAAGTTGCAAAAATTTCGTTACAACTACAGGAAGTTCAAGATCAGCAAGATTAAAAAGCAGAATGCATTAGCCACAAAAAATTAACCCATAACTAGAGGACATGATTGAGTACCTTAGAATTGGATGCAATCAAGCCTACCATTCCAGGCATAGGCCTCATGTGCACACCACGATCATTGTCGATCACCTACAAATATACGAGCCCAAATTGGGATAGAAAAGAAAAAAAATGAAAATCATTCCAATTATACAAAAGCCAAGTAAGATATTTTGCAAGTGATATAAATCACGCCATACTTGAATTTGTCTATTTTTGACCATCGATTTATTTGTCCTCTCACGACACATTTTTCTGTACTCTTCCATGTTTTCATTGTGTGGTTTCAGGTCAAATTTATGTTCGACTTTCCCTTCTGCAGCAACTCTTCCTGCAAAATCAGTGCTAAACAATAAATAACAAAAGAAAAGATTCTTCCCAGCAAAGTTTTGCTCCAAAACTGTCCAGGCATGCAACATCAAAAACTAGAGTCAGAGCACAGAGAAAGCCTCACAGATCAGACCCAATCTCAACTCAGCTGAACAAAAGCAGGACATACTAAAAAATTTAAGGAGCAAAAGCTATATCCCTGTTCTATACCCATTGTTTGAAGAGAATAGCTTCCAGAACAACAATGCATCAAAAAGAATCTTGTAAATTAAATTTGAACTTGAGGAGCCTAATAAAGATTACCTTGATTTGTCTCAGAGAAAATACACATAGGAACAAAGTCTTTGAACATATTAAGCGAGTAGCTTTTCGGCATGTTTCCGGCATCACTTCCAGTTCCAGCCATCTCCATAGTAAACTGATTGTAATTTAAAAAGCTGTTTAGAATGGTAGAATAGTGATTTGCAAGGAAAACTATCCAAATAAAACACATAACAGATTATCCACATTCTGAAATTCATTGCGATAAAGGCATAACCCAAGGTGCTTCCTATACGTAGAAAAAGACAAGGAAAAGAAAAAAGGTTAATGGAACTCCACATATCCCATCAAACATATGGAACATGCAGATACCTATTTCCAAAACAGAGGAAAAAAGGAGTAACTAACCGATAAAAATATGCTGCAGTGCATCAGATGCAAAATTAAACATACAATGGGTCCCAATCCTAATATATACATGTTCTAATTAGTTAATCTCTGCAGAAACGAATTACTTGCAAAAACAAATAAACTCGATGCAAATTTATGGATATACATATGTAGCAAACTACATAATTTTGAGCATGTGAACATTTTTGCAACCACATGTCAGCACGAATTCAACAACAACTAAACTTAACTTGAATAATATGCTTCTAATCACCTGCAGCCATTCAGTCAAAATCAATTATTTGAATGCACAAGAGTGAACACAATGATCATGCTTCATGCATAGGCATACATCACAAAAGCACTCCGCATTATCCGAAAAGAAGACAAAGTGCTACTACATCAAAAGCCATCCAGACTTCTGACCTCTTCCCAAGTACCAGGACAGGGGTCAATTGCTTTCTCACTTCGTAAACCTGAATTATAGTCCATTCAGGCTTTATTTAGCACACAATAACTACTGAACTTAAAAATAAAAAAAAAATAAAAATAAAAAAGGATGGTATAGCAAAATCTTACGAGGCAAAGAAAAAAAATCAAATAAATCACTTAAAAAACTTAATTCACTAAACAAATCTACAGCTCAAATCAGAAGAAAACTGCAAAAATCTAATTCAATTACCAAAGAGAATAAGAGTATACACACGCACAGGCACATTTCAATTATATCAAAACGATTAAGTACGTGAGAAATGACTCTTGAGTACCTGCAGTGAGTCGTCGGGACGAAGAGGATCGAGAGAGACGACGACTTTAGAGGCCGGAGGTGAATCGGAGACGGAAGAGGAAGAAGAGGCGGCAGCTTGAGCTTGCCAGGACTTGGAAACGACTAGTGGACACTTCATCAGCCACACCGATCTCTCCGCCTTGGCGGTGTCCACGACGGTGCTGTTGCTGCCGTTACCGTCGTCTTCCATCTCTTCTTCTTACTTGGTTCCTTTCCGTTTGATTCTGAGCTGCTTATTGTGCTACAGGTGTAAGTTTACTAGGCTCTGGCTTGTGTTTCATCAAACTCGTCAGGGAAGTGAATTTTCTGTGTTGACTCTCCCTGCGCTGAGCTCTTATGTTTTGGAATTCGAGTTTTCCCATTCTTTTTTTTTTTTTTTTGGCCTTTTTGTTATTGGGCTCATTTCTTGCCCTATCTTCGCGTTTGGAGATGTTTTTTGTAATAACAGACTGTGTATGACTTGGGTCAAACTTTTTAAAGGATGTACCTGGTAGCTGGTACTCCTCAGCTCTTGCTCGACAAAAGCCGAGGTATATTTTCCGGTTGGCTTATTAAACAAAATTCAAACAATTAAAGATGCACCTACTCTATTTATTTGTGGCTCAATATTGCCTCAATAACTATACAAATTTTAGAAGAGTTCAAGATCCCGTGATTAATAACTCGTATTAAAAAAAAAAAAAAAACTCTCCTCCTTCTCTCTTTAAAAAAAATTTTAATCAAAATATCTTCCAACTTTTCTATGCGAAATCAGATTTTCGTATCTTTTCCTCATGCGACGAACCTCTCTCTAAAGTCACTACTATATTAGGTTTCCTAGTGAATTGCTTAGTGAAAGTTTTCTCTCCTCCTAAACTTTTATAGTCAAAGTGTTCTTCTCTCCTAAGATTCTCAGTGCGAGTTTTAGGTAACTTTTTTTTCTATTATTAGATCTAAGTTTTTTCTAGTAGGAGTTTTAGATCATTTTTTTCATTTTTCTATTATTGATTTGAGTTTTTCAAGTTTGTTTATTAGAATTGAAATTTCTTTAGTCTATTCAACAGATTTCATCTTAATATCTGGATTTGAAACAATTAATTAGTAGATGTTCTTGAAACTACAATTATTTTATCTTAGCTTTTTATTTGTTACTCAAATCTATAACTTTTCAGATTTGTTGTTTGATACCTTTGTATGATTTTGAATGTGAAGAATGGATTGAGTGGCACAGCGACAAAGTGCAAGTGGGGTCACAAAATCAAGACCTCCTACTTATATTTTAAAAAAAAATGTTTTATGCATCAATCGTCCATAACAAGGCCATGGGCGGATCTTGAATTCAAACAGTGGATTGGGCTGCACTTGAAAAGGCTATGAGCCTGGCCTCGTTTCTTAATGGCAGTTAAAGTGGTTTGGATTGTCGTTTCCCATTAAAAAAAAAAATTACCTTTTTTTGTGAAAGTATTTTTCAATCACTTTGTTATCTTATATATATCAAACTCGTAAAAAAAATTTATCTTTTTCATGAACACATTTTATAATCACCTTCTTATCTTATATACATAAAGTCGTTACAGTACATTTTTCTACAAAAATTGCTAAAAACAACAATCCAAACAACAAGTTTTTACGGCATTTATCTCGTAGGTAGGTACTACTAGTGGATTTTAATAGACCTTCAGCACATATACAGAAAAACATAACATAAACATACACAACAATATTGAACGATAGTTACGAAAATACTAAAATCATTTCAAAATATTATTCTAAGTAGATAAGTAATTTTCACTTTCAGTAGCGTGGTTAAACATGGCTAATGTGTGATCACTAAAACACCAATTGAGCATGTTGCTTCAAGATCAAATACGGTATAGTGTCAAATACTCCAGACGGGTTTAAGCTTTAGTCGCATTTTTGTAGGTCGAGACATCTACAGCAGTCAGCCTTGTTTCCCTCAGGAAGAGGAAGAAGTAATGATCCTTGTGTGTATAAGCTTTAGTCAATCAAGGGAACATCCAAAAATTTCTTGCAAACAAGTTTTAGTAACCACTTCGAAATGTGCATTCATTGGTTTGATCCATGTCTTCATCCCTGAGGATTTAGCTAAAGAATTAGTAGTAGTACGAGTTACCACTGCAAAAAGGGTAGCCAAAGAGAGAATCACACGCAAAATCTAAGGCACAATTGTGCTGATAGACAGTGTCCATTACCTGATAATTACCAATATTCCAGCGTAAAAGTGAGCTCAATTTTCTTGGTCCTTTTATCGTCCATGTAATGCGGTATACATACACAGCGTTTTTGATTCTACCAATCTTGTACATACTATACTGATAACAAAATTTCCGTTTGGATTAATTGTTTCGGGGTATTTTTGAAATATTTTATTGTAACAGAATTTTTAGAGTATATTTTGAGATATTTTTAGAATATATTTTGGGATATTTAAGAGTAGTAGAGTTTTTAGAATATATTTTAAAATATTGAAAAAATTTAGACAATTTTTTAGAATACTATTTAGAATATTTTTTGAAAATTTTTATAGTATTTTGAAAAACTAATTTTTGAAAATTTGATGGATCCAAATGGAGCCGTTTTAAGTCCATTGATCAAATGCTTGGCAAATAATGTAAATAGGAAAGGAATAAAGCGTCGCCACGTTGTAAAATCTCATTCTTTTATCCCTACCTAGTACCTACTGCCGCCTAGGAGCCAATTATATGATCTCGTTCCCATATCCTCCCCCGGAAGAAGGTATTAGTTATTTAGTTTAGGACAAATTTAGGATCAGAGTGTGAAGTTCGAAGGTATTAGTAGTTACTTAACAATAAATGTTCAACTTCTAATTTTATGAAATAATATTCACTAAACACCTCAAAAGTGCTTTTAGCATCAAAAGGTGTTTTTTTTTTTTTATCAAAAGCAACGCAAACACCAAACAGGGCCTATAAGTCCCCTTTTATGTTTCTGGAAGCCTACTAAAACCCGAAAAAAAATTTTCAATAAAAGAAAATGCAACATTTGGGTAAATAACATGTTACTGTAAAGTGGAAAGAGATATTATTATTATTATTATTAAAGTGTAATGTCCAAAACTGTAGTGTTATGTCACATATGATTCTAGTACAAATTACAAATAAAATTATAAAACTGTTATATGTCACTTGTTTAATCGGTTGGTGATCGTATTATTTGCCTTAGTAAGAAGCTTGTGGGTTCAACGGAGCTCGCAAAATCATGCCTTTGTGAATTAGTATTATTGCTAATATAGTAAAGATTGTCAGAATAAAAAGCAAAGGATGGGGGTGAAGAATATAAAAAGTGTAAAAATCAATTAAAATTCTCTTTTCCTGTCATATGTCTCTTGGATTAACCATTTGGCTAGAGCCTTAATTAACCCTGCATGCGGATGCAAAACTTCAAGAAATTCGGCAAGAAGAAAATATATGACGTATTGCAGAGCCGTGAGGGGCACGAGAAAAATGACCATGGCAAGAAGTGGCTTTCATCCCAAGCAACCTTCGAAGAATCCAGCCCGATTGCTGAACCAATGGATGTACAAGGCCACGCAGAAAATGAAATGGGCAGCCCAAGATATCCTTAACCAGTACCTTTGGAGCACGGGATCACTCATTCTATCTTCTATTCTTTCGTCTTTCTCTCTTTTTTCTCACTAGTAAAACGATTCTCTCAGTGAGTCTGGGCCGAATGTTATATTTTGATATTGTACTGAAAAGGGTCAAAGAGGGTGGTAGAACGTGGGAAGATGATATTATATATACAGGGAGGAGAAGGGAGGGGTAAAACAGAATCTGTTACTTTGGATATGGTACAGAGAGGGCAACCCCCCAGAGATGCATTTTCCGTTGTCTGACAATTATTTATGCGTCCTACCTTTACATCTTTATCAGTTTATATGCTCAACTGCATACCCGTATCATATGCAATGAAATCCTTAACAACTTTAAACTATTTGTTGAATTACAAAATTATAATTAGAATGCATATTTCCTCTACAAGAGGTTGTTTAGAGGAAAATAATAGAAGTTCCAGAGATCATATGATCATATAGTTATTTATATTATTAGACACAATGAAGTTGTTTGTCTTCTTTTCCACAAAAGTTTTCCTTTCTTTTAAAATTCAATGATAGAGGGCAAAAAGTAGTGAAAATTAAGTGTGAATCTTTAAACAGACAAGTATTGTTAATTATCCATTTAAAGTATATGGTCCCTAATTATGGTTCTTGGGGTAACAAAGTGCATATTGAAGCGTAACTACTAATATGAAATTCTATAAACATACATGTTAGATGCAAGAGATATTGTAGTTGTAGAAACAGCAAGACCATCTCTAACTAAACCAGTGCTAATTACATGCATGCATATAGAGTCCAAGGCATTCTTTCGGCAACTAATAGTTGGACACTACTAATAGACTGCTTTTTGGAGAGTTAACTAATTACTGAATGAGAATGTGAAAAGGGTTAATACCAAAAATTTTACATATTTATTGTTAGACAAGCCAATCATATTGCTATTAAAAGAGATAACATGTACGCAATTGCATGTAAAACAAGTCAAACATCTATAAAAAAAAAAAAAAAAAAAAAAGTGGAATCACGTAGTAAAAGTAATTGGTCCTTTTCTCCACGGATGATTGCTCATTCCGTATATATTGGTTACATTTCAATTTGCATTAAAACCGTGAGTGTGTGTATGTGTGTATATCTTCACCAGATGCGATTCAAATTCGTTAATATTGACTAACCTAGCAAATTAATTAGCAAGAGGCTGAGATTGTCAAATGCTTTGGCCTTACGTGATTTGGAAGCATAAAATTTAACCCATGCGTTCATGGGAAGAATGATGGATTGGATAGTATGGAAGAAATGAGTGTAATTGAAAGTTTCGAGTTCAAAACTTACCACTTATACTAAAAAAATATTAGAAAGGCAAAAAAATGTGGTGGTTTTAATCAAAGTAGAATTGATATGTTCTCTGTTAAATTTAACGGTCAAATTTAAAAAGTCAAACATTTTAAATAAAATCACGACAAAATTACAAAATCACCCTTCTATGTAGGATTATGATGTTCTAAATGAAATTTTGGGAACAATCTATACTTTTAAAAAAATTTTAAGATAAAAACAAAATTTTGAAAAAAAAACTTATATTTAGTTCATCTTCAGTGTTCTGTTGGACTGCTACAATCATGATAAGAAGGGACAAAAAATTTATATTTGCTTCTGTGATTTTTCTTGTCACCATACTTTGTTCTTGCCTTTTTTTTTTTTGTACGAGACGAACCACGTATGAACTTTTTATCATGACAGTAGCAGTCTAACAAATAGCATTGAAGATGAAACAAATATAAGTTTTATTCTATAATTTCATTTTTACGTTGAAATTTTT